CTTTTTAGAGCAATGAATTTCTCCACTTCTGGGTAAATAGGTATACGAGGCATTAAAGATTAGAAAAAGCTGAAAAAAAGATAAAGAAAATGAGACCAAGACAACATTCTATTGATATTTTTTGTTGTAACTTTGTGGTCACTTATAAATAACGAATGAATTATTGTTGAACATATTCGAAACAGCGCAAAACCAACATTATTTATTGTTAAGAACTGTGGCAAGTATATAAATATCAAGGCGGAGAAGAGATTCTCAGGGACATGGAACAGCTCAACCGATTTGCAGTCTAACGATTTTACAACGGTAAGGGGATAGACAAAGAAACAATCGAAAAAATTTACAGAGAAAAATACGACTTGTACCATCTTGCGAAGCACCGTCTTCATCAAACGAGGTGATCGTGAAGGAAGTGTCAAAGAACGATTTTACAATGGAAGAAGAAATGAATTTTCAGACAGAGGACGAAACACAGTGTGTTTTTGATCATGTGAATAAAAGGTCATACTCAAACCAAAGCGATTTCTGATTGGCTTAAAACTGTTTAAATTTTCACAGGTATAAAAGGTGTATTCAGGTTTTTTTTTTTCTCTCTCTTTACCTTTCACATTTTGAATAGCTGGCACTCTGTTCACGCAAAAATAAAGCGCAAGGTAGTCGCTATTATTGATTCAGCGAGCTTCTCGTAACGTGTGAGATACTTTTCAGTACTGTCGCACGGGCAAAAAGTGGGGTTTTTGCGGGGTGTTTCCATCGAACTTATCGTGAACAATACCCCCAGCGTCGAATAGAGTGCCTCTAAGAGACTTGGTTGCACCTCTGCTATTCATTATGTGGTAGACTCTCCATGCGGGCTGGTAAGCTGACCTCAACGACCGTTATAGGTATAGAGTATGGCCTCATCATAGGCAGTACAGCAATTGCGTTCTATACTTGGCGTGACTCCGTTGGTCTAGGGTTATCGACTATACTGGGCTCAAGAGTCTATTCTGGTTTTTTTTTCCTCCACTATGCTAGAACAGGTTTTCGTCCTGTGGGGGATGGATCCAAGCTATTTTAGCTAGCTTTGGTGAACGAAAATTCTAGCTTTTCTTTATGGCTTATTCTATAAATCAGGGGCTCACATTTGTCACTATGCGACAATGCAAACCATCCACTGGGTGTCTATACCAACTGACTACCACTCTGCCCTGGTGTGAGGCTTGAGCGATGCAGCGTGATCTCAGAGCTATTTTACAAAAAGCGTATGAGAATTTTAATCTGAAAAAGCTAATTAGAAATTCATACTGATTAAAGAGTGAAAGAACATAATGACCAATTTTAATAATGAGCCAACATCGTTTCTGTTTTTGTTTTAAACTTGTAGATAAACGATAATATGCATATGTTATGTTAACCTTACACAAAAGGATTGGTGTGTTGTATTCATGTCTTTTAACACTTTTGTAAAAAAAGGGACAAAGATGTTCTAGTATTTAATGTATTGATTGCTGCATATATTACAAATATAAAAGACAAAAAGAATTGTTGATCTTATTGAGCTGTATTGGATTTTGAAAGGAAAGGTGTCTTACGGGATACATAAGGTCCAAGCTATAAAAAGAATATTAATATCTAAAAAACGCTTTTGCTTCTTTCTCTTCATCTTACATTAAAGTTTTCCAAGTCTGGAACAACAAATGTGCGCACTTTGTTCCAATCAACGATATATCCTCCTTTCTTTGTATGTCTACCCATGGCACCAGAGCCGGTACCTTACTGAATGTCAACATGTGCCGAATGATCTTTATTCTTTTTCTAAATTACCTTTGTAATAATTGTGGCCTCTCTTTGATGTTAATGGTAAACGACTTGCACCTCTAGGAATAGACTTGATTACACCAAACATGGTTGACAGCAATTAAAGAAAGAACAAGAAAAAAAAAAGACACCCAGGCATCAAATGAAAAAGTGAAAAAGAAGTCACGCTGTTTTCTAGCTTTATTTCTTTGCATACAACAAAACTTTAACCATGATGCCAAGTAGCCCAGATTGCTTCACGACAGTACAGGATGCCTAGTAGTGGAGTACCAACCATCATACTTAACCAAAAGAAAGAGTTACCTAACCAGAAACGATTTTTGAATATAGGTAATCGACCAATAATAATCAACGGCAATTGAAACATTTGAATGATCAGCATGTACAAACGAATCTTTTGAGTAACAATAATCAGGATAAGCTCATGAAAGCAGGATGAAAACAAAAAGGTTACAAAGGTGGCATTCGTCTTTGATAGTTTATAGGATTCAATTGAGTGTGAATAAACATGTCGAAGCAACCATTGATGAACAGGCTTATTCCATTTACGAGCAAATTCATCATAAGTCATACTATTCCACCAATCATCATAAAAGTTTCTATCAGCAAACCTAATGAAAGAGAAGAAGTGAATATTATTAATATCATTATTGTTATTATCTTACCTGCTCAATTCGGCAAAGGCATTTAAAATACATTCAAAGATGATATAGAATATAAGAAGGTAGTTGATCAGGAAGGGGAAGAGTAGCTCAATGATCACTCGAGGTTCCGAAATATTTGGGTCGTAGAGCTTTGGAATAATGAACCGTTCGGTTGTAACATAAAGAATCAAAAAGGTTCCAAGTGTAGCCACAATTTTTTCAAACAAGTACCAGATACGAATCCTAATACACACATGTAGTTGAATGTTAGAACCGTAAAATTGATCTACTTTTGCTCTTTTCTTACTTGTCCGTGCGTGGGTATTCCATCCAATAGACCAGACTGGGAACAAGTAAGTAATCCAAAAAGTTAATGATTGTAACATTATCCGGGAAGCGCGTACTTCCGTGAACCAACTCTTCTTCTAAAAATGACATTTCTACTTCCATCTCCTCTAACTCCTTTGTCTCTTCTTCAGTGTAAGTTTTTCCTTTACGAGCCGCGACCCAATTGGGCACTATTTCCTTTAGTTGATTCAGTCTTTTTAGTTTAACAGATAGATCTCCATTCAGTGTAGTGTATGAATGCATTTTCATCATCATCACTATCGTATGCATGGTAAAGAAGCCTGATTGGACCCAAGGCCAATTTCTAATGGCAGCGCATTAATAAGTAAAAAGATTCCCCTTTGATCATACACAGAGAAAGTTTACCTCCAGAAAGTCCAGTAAATATTAAAGAATAAGAAACAAGCTTGTCCTATATGTTGGATGATGAATCCAATGGTATCATAAGGTAATACATTCCATAAAAATAACTTTGAAAAGAGTACACTAAATAATGTCATGGAAACCATCGTCAGGTCCGATATGAGAAGCGCCAGGCCATCTTTGGATATTAATCTGTAAAATCCCAAACTAATCAATATTCCTTCTTGCTCGTAGCATTTCATAGCAGCCTGTATCACGTAAAATCCCATGGCTATCCAAAATAGTGTATAGAATCCTCTAAAGGATTCATTTTGATTATCTGGGTTGGACAAGTCAAACTGTGTGTGTCTCGCTTTGAATAAGAGTGGTCGTTGCTTTAAGAATTTGGAGCGCCCATCCTTTATAATGCCTTCACTTTCTTTTAAAGATGCTGGTTCTGTTACGGTTCGCTTAATAGGTGGTGCCGACATCAAGAAAGCTAAAAAAAGAGTGGAAAATGTGCACAGTAATGCATTTATTTAAAACTATGACGTTACTACCACTTGAATTCAGACGGCATTCAAATCTTCGGGAACTTGAAAAAGGACTCTTGAATCTCCGAATGACTTTGGTTTAGTTTATGTTACTTTTATGTTTGTTTTTGTACATAAATAGCATTTTTATTTAAATGGTTAAATTTAACTTTGTAACAAACGAGGTTAATTTTTACGTTTTTTGTTCCTTGATGATTATTTTAATTTATGACGAATGAGCACAAGATGAAAAGAAGTCCAAGATTCACTGTATACTCTTGGATTTGTTGGAAAACGAAACGATACTGCTGTTTGATTTTTAACAAATTTGGAAAGACAAAATTTATATTCTTCATTTCAACTTTACTGTAAACCGTCCAAAGTTCTCAACAGGTTTCTCTCACGAAAAGAAAAGCTATTTGAGATTTCAAGTAAAATTATCAAGATGATCCAAACGATTTGATTCTTCTGTTTGAAAAAGAATTTACATGTCTTAGGAATGAATGGCCAACGTAAAAATATGTAGTACCTGGTTACCTGAACTCTGTCAGATAATACTTCAACTGTGCATTTAGTAATTGGAACAAGTTTAAAAGCTTCTTGTGAGATGAACCGTACACAACGTCTCTGACTACACCATTTTGGGTCAAATAACGAAACTTTCGATAATATAATGGTGAGTACAAAGAAAGATTATGCACAGTAAGATGAAGCTGTCGTGTTCATGGACGATATATCTCTTGCTTCTCTATTTATTCGGCTAATAGATGATGCCAGATATTTGCGTCCACTTCTCATTATAAATATTCGCGTCCTACCATCATTTAATAGACCTTGTTTCTATTTAAAAGTAAATGTAGTCAGTTGACTCTTCACTGTTTTACAACTATACATATTTCCCATCATCGACTTTTAAGGAGTATTATTTATATTCGCCCTTCATTTCTTTTTTGACTTGAAATAAAGCAGAAGAATATGATCAGCAAGATATCATTACCAACAAATGGTGTACATGAAAAAGTGCATTTCCCCTATTTTTTCCCACACAGAACACAGAACGGATCCTAATCTTTCTGTCAATATGCCTAATAGGCTCATCTGTTTCTCTTTTAGAGCAAATGGGTCGATTATCCCTATTGGCTCATTCTTTGATGTATTGTGATCAACCGTTATTTTAAGATCTGATGAAGAGAAAAATCAAGATGAGCCTGTTGGCTTTATTGAATGGCCAATCAGCATTGGAATAACTGTGTATATTAGCCAATCATTTTTTGTTTTCATGCAAACGGTTTATAGAATGATCTCTTTTTTTATTAAAGAAGAGGCTGTGTGTAAGAGATAAGCCTTGGATGGGGTAGCAACAAATAACAATAAAGCAACGATATAAAAGGGTCCGTATTTCTATCGCCGAAATGATCGCATTACTTCATTTTTTTTTTATTTTCATATTCACCTTGGAATGTCTAATGTCGAACATGTTATAGAGGTCAATGACCTTTGCTTCAATTATGGAGGCCCGCCTATATTGGACCACTTAAATTTCAAGCTGAAAGAGGGAAGTCGCTGCATACTTGTTGGTGCTAATGGCGCAGGCAAGACGTCTCTCTTGAGAATCTTGGCTGGTAAACGTCTCATTCACGGTCACGTTCGTGTGCTCGGAAGAGATGCTTTTTTAGATGCACCACCTGTAAGTTTCATATCTTATAAGAGAATACCACTATAAACATTGTATTAGGGTGTGACTTATTTAGGCACAGAATGGGCAAATAATTCAATTGTCAAATCCGACTTGTCTGTTGACTATTTACTGAAAAGTATGGGCAGTCATCGATGGCCTGAGCGTGCTCAAGAGTTACTGGACGTCTTGGATGTCGACACGACATGGCATATGCATCAGCTTTCTGATGGTCAACGTAGACGTGTTCAACTCGTGATGGGCTTATTGCATCCTTGGAAGGTGTTGCTCTTGGATGAGGTCACAGTAGATCTCGATATCCTGGCCAGAGCCGACTTTTTGAGGTTTTTAAAAAAGGAAACAGAACAAAGAGGATGCACGGTGGTAATAAGATGACTGTTATTTTAATTGACATGGATAGTAATTATAGCATATGTAGGTTTATGCCACACATATATTTGATGGATTAGGTGGTTGGGCTACTCATATAGCTCATATTGCAGACGGAACCTGTCTATCATTTGACGATGTTTCCAACTTCCCATTACTAGAAAAGATCAAACAAGAACAAAAAGATAGCTCTGATTCTCCCTTGATGACCTTATGTCTAGGCTGGCTAAAGGAAGACAGAGACCGTTTGCGTAATAAGAAGCAACTTGACCCTGCCACAGGCTTACCTCACTCGAAATGGGATGAAATGAGTGAGAATATGAAGGCGTATGGAGACAAGTTTTATAATTATTGGAGCCAGCAACAATAAATCAATTATAATCTTCATATGCATTTGCGTAACCGTCATTTTATTTCTTCCCATTCTTACTTTTCTCTCCTTCTCCCTTTTTCCTTTTTTTGTGTACGCGTGTTATGTGTGATTCAGACAGGTCATCTCAAGATTTACCTCATCTCAAACCAGCTGTCTCGACTGTTCTCAGAGCATACGGTCTCGGTTGGATATTAACGACAGCACCTGGTCTTATCGCCGTATTGGTCAAAGCGATTACGGCCAAAAAACAGAGATCGAGCGCGATTCAAAAAGCGATCCTATTGACAGTACCGAAGCTGCTTAAACGTAGCATCGTCAACAATGGGCTTCCTTTACTCTTGGCAGCTTCTGTGGGCGGACAACGATTCTTGCGTTATGCTTGTCAGAAATATGCACATAAGCAATTATCACTCAAGGGTGCCATCTTTTGGTCATCCTTTCTTAGCATTCTGTCCGTTCGGAAACTCTATCCAAACATAAAAACGCTGGAAGTCACTTTCTTTGTGCTTGTACGAGCATTTGACGTTTTCGCACACCGATTGTATGGATCAGTCAAGGTGAGACAAAGAGTACCTGAGTGGACGTTGGAGTATGGCAATATCTTTATCTTTATGCTCGCAAGTACAGAAATTATCTTTTCATGGTTCTATGAACCTCAAAGACTGCCCAAGTAAAGAAAAGAAAAAAAAAAAAACAAAACATAACTGCAACAAATAGACGTTTTCTAAACTTAACGTTTAGATCATATGCTCAATGGATTACGAATATGTCAGGGATTGACGATAGCCTCCTGAAGGCGTTACGAGCCATCAGAGAAGGGAGATTTGTCTATGGTGTAAGTATTCATTAAAAACAAAAAATGGAGTCTAACGGCATTATAGAAAGATACAGGTGCAGGCGACATATTAGGAAACATGTGTGAAAAGCTTGGCCTACCTCGTTCCTATGGCGACCCAATGACAGGAAGAATCAACTGTATGGTGATTCATGAAGGAAACCCTTATGGCTGTGAAGCAAATGCCATGATGCGTTTCTTGAAAGGTTTTATTAAAATATTTCCTGTAAAGACACAGACTGTTTATACAAACAAAGGCCCTCATTGATTGTGTATTAGGTCTATTTTGGTGTACATCTTGCTCCACCCTTGCTCTTTAGAACCTCTCGTTTAATACAGGATCCTGTAAACTCTTTGGCGCATATATTAATAGCCAGTGTTCGATCATCTGCATTTTTGGGCACATATATTGGCATCATTTGGTACTCTATCTGTCTTGTTCGAACAAGAGTAGGGCATCAATTGTTAGGAATTGATCAGTCAATTCTGGATAACACATGGCCTCCTTTGGTAGGAAGTATGCTTTGTGGCCTATCGCTATTGATTGAAAGCAGACACCGTCGTGGTGAAATGACTCTCTATGTCGTTCCTCGTGCCCTGTTCTCGATCACAGAGCGTGTTCTGCACCCGTTAAAACAGACGGCATGGTGGAATAAGTTTGGTTCAAGCTATACAGAAGCCATTGTGTTTGCGGCCTCAATGACTGTGGTCCTTCACGCGCTTCATAAAGACAAGGAAATGGTAAGACCTTCCATACGTGGTCTCATGTCTTGGGTATTGAAAAAGGAAATGGATGAAAACAAAAGATTGGCGGAAAGACATGAAGAAGATGACGAAAGACATTTGGAAGTTAGAATAAAGAAATAAGTGTTCTTTTGGGTATATGACCTCAGGCTAAGACCATACATATGAGATCATCAGATAACATTGACTTAAATGGGAAAGAAGAATCCAAACATTGAAAGACAATAGCTCCCACGTGGAATTTGTGTTTAATAATTTACAATTATTTCTGTGATACGCACACGTTTTTCATTTTTTTTTTTTAAAGCATCGTTTTTACAAAGGCTGTAGCTATTCTTACACCGTATGGAACACGTCTATCTTGTCTGTCAAATGTTTCCTTGGATACCAACTCTGAGTATTGATGGAGTAAATCTATTTCTTTGTGCAATGCATTCTTTAACTGTTCATTCTGTGTGATTACCACGGCTTGAGCTTCTAGATCTCTCTCGCTTGATCTCTGGCCAAAATTAGGCGAGCCAATCATCGTCATGGATGGTCTACTTTCATTCCCAAAATAGACCCAGAGTCCCTTCGCATGATAAGTCCATCCTGGTCTCTTGTATTCTTCAATCGAGATCTCATCTTGTCTACCTGCTCGTTTGACATGTCTATAGAACTGTTTCTCTATGTGTGTATATGCCGGAGGAAGGAACTTGCTGACTCCCTTTGAATTGAAGAATCCATTGGCCTATTGATTTATAAGTCAATTTCCCCTATATTGATATCATGAAACACCCCGAACCTCAGGAGATGCTGTTAAAAATCTAAAAAAGGCTCTTGTCTTTAAAATCACTGCCTTGTATTTATCCGTAAAGTTGAAATAGCCTGACGTAAGATGAATTGTCCATTTGTCTTGCTGTTGGTTGGCAATGTTGAGTAACTCGAGCGTTACCTTTTCATCTTGTCTGATACAAAAGGGTCCCATCTGAATCACTGGTAAAATAGCTGTATCCATGGTGCCCTCTTGCTGTACTTTTCTATTTTGATATTCAATCAAGAATTGTTGTAATCGGCTATGAACTAATGACTTGTATCTCTGGCTCTCCTTCACTGGGTCCGCCATGGAATCTGAAAGTTCTAATCTATATTTGCTATTATTATTCTGAGCTGGTACAAGATGATAGGAGCATGAACTGACGAGTTTTAATAAGTCATGGTAATAAGTTGTCAGTTCAGGTTGTTGATCAAACAGGATGTATCGATCCTGTCTGTTGACGAAATAATCTGTGCTCAGGTTAGCTCTAAATAAGCTAGTTAATTATCATCTTTATGCTATGTATTTATCATAATACCCGCTTAACATGATGGTATTATCAAAACCATAAAGCTTCAAATGCATTAATCCAATCGTTTCATTAAATCTTTGTGGTAACGCCTTTTTGAGTATACCAGTAAGATCAGGTGTATGATATAGTGATACTTTGATCTGCTTTGGATAATCTTGGATGAGAGGTAAGAGAAGAGTAGCAGAACTTTGTCCCTTTGAATTACGCGTTCCTCTTAAGCAGTCAATGAGTATATGAACTTGTAGAGTAGAAGATTGCGAAAGTGCTGTTCTTATTGTATCTACCTAGGAACAAGGTTAGTGCGTCAATAACGTGTATAAATAGGCAGCATTTTACAAGTTCTTTTTCTGAATGTCCAATATAGAGTGCAGCAATAAACACTCTTTCCTTTGCCGATAGTATTCTAGACTTTAGTTCAGCATAAAAATCCGAGGGTTGATAAAGCGGTTTCACATGCTGACCGTGTGTATAAAAGGTTGGTGCATACTGCTGAAGTGGTTGTAATGTCTTTATGTCTTTAAAAATGTTCCTTTTTATACAAGATGTTGTCAAGTGCCGTACTTGACATTGAGTGTAAAATATGCGTTTGAACATTTGTAAAAAAATATGTATGGCAAGGGTTAAACACACTATAGACTTGTACCAGACACAGTCACTTACAGTTTGTTATTCTAAAAAATTAGCCCCCCTCTTCTTCCTCCTCTCCTCCCTCCTACTCCTTTTGACGTCTTTTGCCTCTGTCTCACTATATCTTTACCTTCCCTTTTTTTTTTTTTACATGTCTTCTCCTAATTGTTGATATTTTTATACAAGCTATTCAATTGTCATTGTCTCCTCTTTCTTTTGTTTATTAGTCTCATCTTTAATCTCCGTTATTTTATATAACTACACTCTGTTTATCAATAATTGCACAGTGCACTCCCACGAGGCTGTCAACTTTAAGTGAAGTGTGAGATACAAGGCACGAGGTCTCTTCCTTGGATTTGGCAATAAAATTTTCTCTTTCAGGGCCAAAATGTTTAATAAAGGCGGGTGTAACCATGATCCTTAATTTTTTTGCTGCTGTTTTCTCTCGCTTTCTTTTCTTTTCTCTCTTTCTCTCTCTTTCTTTCTTAAACAATAATGATTGATTCACCTGTTGCGGCAGATTCTATTACCAACAAACAGGCAACACAAGAAGCTTCAATCTACCATACCTGTCGTTCTGTATTGAACGCTCTGGGCTATGTCAAAGGATTCGAGAAATATTTGGAAGAGACAGACCAGGAAGAGGAGTTTGCTGATACAACAATGGCCAGCGATCCGTTAACAAAATTATGGAATGTCTGTAAACCAGGCAGAAGTCTATGTTTTTTATTTAATGTATTGAGACCTGATACACCTATTATTGTCAATCCAGCGACACCAAATCAAACAAAAGCCCACATCTATCACTTCATTATTGCTTGCAGAAATCAACTTCACTTTCCTGAAGAAAGCCTGTTTACTGTCACTGAATTAAGTCAAAATGATACCAATGGATTTGTCAAGGTAGCTCAAAAAAAAAATCTCCTTGTTATATCACACATTCTTATTTTAAATATAGGTAGTCAATACAGTAAAACGTATCTTGGAACTATTAATAGAACAAGGTGTTATACCTGAACATGCATTAACCGAAGTAGAGACAAGCAATGAATCTCCAAAGGATCAGCGAGATAATGTTGTCTACGAACTTGTATCAACTGAAAGAAAATATATTCAAGATCTTGAAGCTCTTCAGGTGAGTTCAACAAGGACACACAATGAAGCGAACTTTTGTCTAAGATAGTTGTGTAGAATTATATGAGAGAAGTGCAGGCACAAGAGATACTCTCGCCCGATACGATGCATTTTTTATTTGGCAACTTGAATGCACTTGTCGACTTTCAGAGAAGATTTTTGGTTCAAGTAGAAGCACATGCTGCTCGTCCTCCAAAAGAACAGAGATTCGGTCATTTATTTATTCAGTTTGAAGAAGGATTTACAGTCTACGAACCATTCTGTGCCAATTTTCAAATTGCACAAGATTTGGTCATACAAGAAGCTCATAAATTACAAAAGTTAGCAAATATCATGTCACCGACCTATGAGCTACCAGCCATGTTGATCAAACCGATTCAAAGAGTATGTAAATATCCGCTCCTATTACAGCAGTTAATCAAATCCACACCAGACGACTGGCCTTACTCGGAAGAAAACAAGGAGGGTCTAGAGGCTATTCAGAGAGTGACCAAGAAGGTGAACGAGACAAAGAGAATTCAAGAAAATTCATTGGTCGTTGAAGATCTGAAAAAGAAAATCGTTGTCGAAGATGGAAGTGAATGTCTGCTGGATAAATATGGTCAACTTTTGTTACACGATAAATTAATATTGCAGAAAGCGGATTCAGATCACGTTAAAGAAATGGTTGTCTTCTTGTTCGAAAAAGTCATCTTACTTTGTAAGGAAGTCAAGGATACCAATAAGAATTCAATCTCTATAAAGAAAAAACGAAAGGAGGGTACATTGATCGTCAGAGGCAAGATTTTGATGTCTAGAATTGAACATGTGAAGGGTTCATCAGCACAGACGGGTAAAATATATTATGTGTTCATAAAGATAATGACTAACATGTATTAAAAAATCAGGCCTTTATATTTTACATGTATCTTGGACTGAAAAGGATGTGGGTCAGACAGTGTTATTAAAATGTCGTAACGATGAACAGCTACGGCAATGGTTAAACGTTATCGTTGGAATCAAGGAATCAACATCTAAAATTGATATTTTACCAAATACACCACAAACACCACTGACAGAACTCAATCCATTACAGGATTACTATGATGACGATGAGGATGACTATTATAATCACAATACCAACCATCCAGAACAACAAGATGATGATCATCAGCCCATGGATGGCAGCTATCCATACCTGCGGAACAGATCCTACAGCTATCAATATAACCGTATGCCTCATCATCTACCTCATGAGCATATGGCCAGAAAACAGAGTCTAGGAAACCTATCGAGTAGTAATAATCTTCCACCACGCCACTTTATGAATGGTATTCCTGGCATGACCTTACCACCATTACCTCGGTCCCCAACACATCCATCCATATCCAATGCAAGCACATCATCATCATCATTATCCTCATCGACAACGAGCACAGATATGTATGTTAGTCATTCATTGCCTTATTCACCACCAACAAGTCATCCTTCTTCTCCCAATAATCACACCCCATCTGGTGCACTTTGGCAAAGAAGACAACAACAACAGCAGCAACAAGAATCAAAAGACGAACCAGTGTATATCAGGAGTAGAACTTCAAGTAATACTAGACCAAGAAATAATAGCATTAACAGTAGCGTAGAACTACTATCCATTTCTTCTAATATATCAACAACACCGAGCAGTAAACGAAATAGCAATTCAAATCAAGAGATACCAGAAAACTATATCAAAATTAAAACACATTACAACGGATCGATCTACGTCGTGGTCGTGCCTTTGACTATTGAGTTTGGAGAACTAAAGCAAAAGATTGAAAACAAGCTACGATTATGTATTCAAGAATCAGCCATTTCAGTATCCGTTTTAAAATATGAAGATGAAGATGGTGATCTCGTCACTATGAATTCAACCGACGATGTTCAAATGGGCTTTGAAACTAAAGGTCCAAATAATGTAGTTAATTTTCATGTTACAGCTGTTTGTTAATGATACAAAGCTTAATCTATAATTACTCTTCACCTTAATAAAGTACCTCTTTAAACAAATAATAATAATAAAAGGCGTGATAGATAACCATGCCAAATAGGGCTTTTTTTTTTTACAGCAACAAAGAAGGGGAGATTTAATCCCTTATTTTCAATATGTGTTTACTAGTTGCTTAAAAGATAAAAGGTACAAGACACCATCGTGCTGGAATTTTATCAAATCTTTGTCTGTACCATTCTCTTGTATTATATGCTCGGGTGGCCAAGTAAAGAGATGAACCAACACTTAGAATAAATACGATCCAATGTTGAGATATCATAGCGATGGAAAAAAAAGAAACCATCTCTGCCAACTATTGTTCAAATGTCAGAAAACAGAAACCAACAGAAAAAAAAAAGCTAATACTTGCATAATGAGGACACCATACATATTCAAATAGTCCATGCTTAGGTATCTAAAGAAATATTGGGTCAAGGGCCTAAAAAGTAAAAGAATATGTGTTTGTAATATACCTTGTATTCTTTTGAGCCACCTTGTCGTAAGTTTTTTAGTAATACATGGTGATAAAAGTTTGCACACTCTCCGATAATGAAGCATACAACGCCCAGCAAAGTTAAATGTGGGGAAACATGTGACAGAGGTACCTGTTCAGTGAATATCTTTACCAAGACAGAAAGTCCCACATATGAGCTAGCGATAGTAAAGCAATCCCTAAGCTTGCAGTGTCCCGAATAATGATGTATAAAGCGTACTTCCTAAGCAAAAGAAAGAAAAAAAGATAAGCAGGTGCATAAAGAGATAAACGAGTGTTCATTTACAAAAAGTCTCTTGCTGTAATGTAAAAGAATAAACACTGACACCAGCAGCACGCGATAGTTTTTTTGTGGCTCAAAGGCATTTGTTATGATTGATTGACAGGCTGATATAAGCGATATGATAAAAGCTGGACAATAGATCATAAACATACCAGTGCGTGAAGGCAGCTATGATAAATGTATTGCTCGATTGTTTTTCTTTAAAACAAGGATAGTTCTTACCATTTTGCCACAAGATAGGCCTTTTATTGCAAATTTGGAATAATTTAGCTTTGTATCTGGGCGTGCTTCCCTGATGATGATGACAGCACAAGCCATAATACTACAGATCCCTACAAGAATATTTGTTATGTCAAATTGAAAGAAAAGCATAAGATATAAGGCAAAAAAGACAAAAAGAAAGAAGTACAGATTGTCAATGAAAACAAATTTATTTTACTTTTTAATAAAAGAGGAGAATATGGATCTGCTTGCATAAGTCTTTACAGACACTTAATGTTTATATGCAAAATTGATAAAGAAATGAACTTTTGTGACCAAGGACCAAAAAAAAAAGGGGGGATGAATTGATCTGCCTGCCTATTACTGCTTTTTAAACATAAAACTTTGCTGCATATAAAATCTTATTCTTCCAAGGGGACAATTCTTTACAAATAAATGGAATTGGGCCGAATACCTTCTTTTCCATAGTGCATGGGCTGAACTCGTTTAAACAAATGAATGTGTCAAGCAAACTCATAAAGTTTGATCTCCGGTGAATTGTAGTTGCACAATAAGAGAGAGAGAGAAAGAAAGTAAGCCCTTTTTTTATATAATATCCCTTTTTTAATTTTATATATTTTATGGACTTGGCAGTTGATATCACTTCTTGTTGTCGTGTACGAGTGCTCTTGGTCCCTGTTTCACCCATAAAGAAGTCGTCTTTTTGGCGTCATGTTGAACTTGTAAAGAAGTTTAGTCTAGTTCGCCTTGGTGATGTGACACCTGATCTTCAGAAAGGTGCCAATGGTAAATAAAAAATACAAAAAAAAAGAGGAGGAAGTAGACTGACTGTTTACCAAAAGCCAAGTTTAGTAGCCAAGTATTTCAAGAAGGTCATATGCATTTCCAATTTGTTACCAAGTACAACAGAGATCATAGTCATCTCGAAGACTTTCAGCCTCACAGACGTATCTTTGGAGTAAAAAGAAAGAATAATTGATAGAGAAAAGGTATTAACGCTGATAGGTATAGGTTATTGGTATCATGGATTGTCAAGAATGGAAAGACAAGGACCTTAGTGAAGGATATCAAAAGTTTGTTGATATGCTTGTTCAGGTACACCATTGAAATGATTTCTAAAATAGGACATCCATTATTTATTTATTTTATTTTTTATTTTTTTGCATTGATAATAGTATCCTACAGCCATAGCCACTCGATGCTTTGCTTTTGACCCAACAGAGAATCAGCCTGATGACACAAAGGGATTGATCATGATTCCGAATGTAGGCAACATGTCTTTTTATATGAGCACCATGATTTGTGATTTTGCCAGCGAAATACTCAACCAGTTTGCCAACATTGTCAGTCATATATACATATATCTAAGATCATCATATGCTAACTCTCTTTAACAACAGGCCGAACGCATAGAGAGCTTGAAAGCTTTAGAATCACCTATTCCCATGGGATCCTTTTCAAAGAAATATGATATGCCCAATGGCCGTATCCACCCTCAACCTTCCACAAGCACACCTAGCGGCAAATCACAGGGTCAGCAAAACAATCGCGCTTCACAACCCGTACCCACATCTTCCATTTCCTCTTCCTTTTTGAAACGAGCATCCAGTGCAGCAGGCACGGGTAGACAAAATATTTCAGCCTCCCCTCCAAGCCCTCGTCCGTCCCTGTCGAGATCGACAACCTTTAGCAACCTAGTGCTTGGCGGCGAGTCAGGAAAGACAGTTCAGAGAACACCAGGGAGAATCAAGAAGCTGTTGGCAGACTTTTACTTGCTCGCTGGACGATTACCTGATGCGATTCAATTGTAAGAATGATCTGTTGAAAACTTTATGATGGCTAACTTTTTTTTTTCTGAAAAGTTACAATGAAGCCATCGATATGACCAAAGATCATTCTGATTATTTATGGCTTGCTAGTGCAAAAGAAGGTTTAGCATGTACGATGCTCTTGATGGCTTTTTTACAAGCAGATGTGGGGGTAACGAAAAAGAAAAACAAAGAGACCAAACTTGAGTTCTAAACTATTCATAGCATATTATCTCCAGAAATGGTACAGCCACCGACCTAAATACACCGCAGGATACAAGCCGACCGCCACCTATTTCAGACAAGACAGGAGTGGAGAACCAAAAGTCAGTTTTTTCAGAGATAACAGAAATGTACGAAGACGCTGTACAGACATATCTTAGAGTAAACAGTTCGACAAACATACCAATCCCTAGCCTCGTATTTGCCGAGGCTTGTCTCAAGATATCGCGGTTTCTTACACTTGTCTTTCTGAATAACGGCTGGAGCGATGCAGTGCTGGCAAAGGTAGTATATGCAGATATGACAGATCTCAAGAATCAGCGAAATGACAGGTTCTTGACAATGTCGGAACTCGTCAAGTGCAAGAACAGCGGTATTGCGAGATATTCTATCGCTAAATATGTTACAAAGATCTGGTTGGTTGATATAGATGAACTCTCAATGATGGATCAAGTCAATATTATGACACACATGACTTCAATTCTGTCTGTTATTGGATATCATAGAAAATCTGCTTGGTTTATGTATGAGATGCTGAATCGTATGGTGCCCCTGTTGATACAAGGACGTGCAGCAGCCGCAAGCGCTGTAAATGGAAACAAGAAGCATCTCGATAAAAATGATGATGGTATTTTGGAAGTTTTGAAGAGGATATGTGAAGTTTACGGCATTGGAGGTAATGATATGACAAAAAAATGCTGGAAATATAAAACTTATGGTTGGAATTAGAGAGTAATGTACACGATGGAGGTGCTCTAGAAATATTACAAAACAAAGTCAACGAAACATATCAGCGACAACAAGAAACTTCTGCAAAGAAAGTGAACACGTTAGGCTTTGGATGGCCTGCACTTCAAATAGACATACTGCGGGAATGTATTGTGATATCTGAAGCAATCCAAGACCATGCGTCTATGCTGTACTACACAACCGTTTTGCTAAAAAACTTGTACCAATACATCTCCAAAGACGAGCAGATTAGATTGGCTTCCTCTATTCAGCGTATTGTGAATATTAGTAAACGATCTGGTCAAATGGACAATAATGTGAACTATTGGGGATTTAACATTGTCAAGTCGATTGAGCCTATTCAGCCTATACCCCGTAAGGCGATCTATCAACACCCTGTACTTATTGCAAAGGCTTTAGCTGCTTCCAAGGAGGGAAGAATCAATTCAGGAGATCCATTTATTTACAACCCTTTTGCAAAAAAGAAGGATGACAAGGTACACAGTTGCTGAACATGTTGTATGCATCATGCTCACTTCTTTCCTTTTCGGGAAACTTTATCCCTTAGCCGCAGATTAACCTGATCAAGGATGAAGTATGTGAATTCAAGGTGACTTTATCTAATCCTTTTGGATTTGATCTTGAATTAAGTAACATTGTTTTAAGGTATAAATATATTGAGCAATTCTGAACATGGACTCATTTTCTTTATAGTACATCTGGAGTTGATTTTTCACCTGTTCCAGCTGCTGCAACTATTCCAGCAAATGATACCTTGACCATCAGGTTAATGGGTACACCTGTAGAAACCGGATTGTTGACGATCAAAGGATGTGTGATTAAAATAACAGGTTTTGCGGAACAAGAGTTTCTTTATGAAAAACAAAAGGTTGAGCAAGTAAAACAAAGGGAACACAAGACACTAAGGCCAGCTGAATCCAAAGGATACAAATACAGGTACAGTGCATAAAGTAGAGAATGATTTTTAGATAATAACGCAACATTTCTTCTTAGTGGATTGCAAGCGCTCTATAAGACACTTACTCCAGGTATTGAACGACTTCTAATCATGATAACAATTGTAACAGTTGGATAGAATTGGACCTTAATCATGACACACCACAGGAAATTGAGTATCAGCAGATCAATGTGATCGAAGATCAACCATTACTAAAAATAAAATCAAGCTCGCTATTGCACGGAGCAGTCATGCTGTTTGAAGGAGAAATGTAAGGACTTCGATTTCCAAAGAAAAAAGGTCTTTAAACACAATATATAGGACGCGTATCTATATACAAATTGAAAACATTGGACACATCCCTGTCGACTTTATCACTTTATCATTTACGGATTCAACTACAACACACCCCAAACTGGTCAATCCTGAGCTTCCTCCTGAAGAGCAATATGAGATTGAACTTTATACAAAAGGAACACCTGTATTCTCTTGGGAAGGTTCAAAGGGCGAGAATAACCAGATTGGTAAAAGGATTTCTCTACTTCCTAAAGAGACAACGGATATAGTGGTTAATGTCTACGGGAAACAGGGATGGTAAGTTGCACTACAATATTTGATCTATGGTTTGATTCATTTTCTATTATAGTACTGGTGGTGCTGTATACATTGACTATGGTTACCTCGACAGAGCAATGCAAGGGCAAGACCAGGTAGAACAGAGCAAAGAGTTACCTACAACACTGTACACTAGACAGTTGTATTTCCCAGTAATGATTACGGTCTACCAGCATTTGGAACCATTGAACTGGGATGTGCTTTACCTTCGAGATAGCATGGCAGTGAATGAAGATGCTGTAGAACAAGCGCTGAAAAAAATCAATACACTTGACAGCTCTGATTCAGTATCGTATAATCAGCCAGTTGAAGAACTTGTGCTTATCACACAAAAGGCGTCTGACAAAAACGACAAGAACCCTTACTGCTTGCTTACACTGGATGTTCGCAATGCCTGGACTGTCCCCTTTGACGTAGAGTTCACAATAGACAACAGTGAACTTGGCTCAGAAGATATGTCCGAGGGTGAAATATTGAAATCACGCATAACTATTCAACCAGCGCTGACAAAGAGGTAAGTAGTTAATGAATCTGATGAGCGTCCTGGCTTATTGCTCTCTCAATAGAATTGTCCTGCCACTGAAGAAGCTGTACCTAACTTCTGAGCAAAGACTCCAGCCTATACCAAGCTTTGAACCCAACAAACAATTCGTAGTATCTCAGAGACCCAAGATGGCACCAGAGCAAGAAAGAGCTAAGCTACAGATGTTTTGGTACCGAGAACTCCTTTTGGATCGAGTCAAGGCTACATGGCGATGCAAAACGACAGGACGCGAGGGTGTCATTAATTTACGATCATCACTACGTCTGATACCACTTCAATTGAACATACTTAAAAAACAAGATATTGAATTCATCATAACCATGTCTGGCGGAGAACAGCACTGTACGGGTCATCGTCAATTTGAATGTCCAGTGAACACGTTTGTGACGATGAATGTAACCATCCTGAACAGACAAGGTAACAATGACAAGATATTATTATACTTTGGTGTTAACTTTTTGTTCAAAGTTCGCCCTGTAAAATTGATTTTACGAGTCCAAGCAGTGCAGAGTTATAATGACGGAGCCAAGGAGTATGACCTGACAGAAAAAATGCTGATGCAAGGTGTCTCTCAACTTGTCCTGCCAGAGATACCATCGAATGAAGAGATTGTTCACAACATACCGCTCTGTTTCTTATCAATAGGCAAATTTGAATTCCTTTATCATGTGGAAGATGTTCACACGCGTGAGATTCATTATGACTACGACTGGGCATTTGTAAATGTAATTGAAAACAATAAGAGTACATAAAGCAATAAATTATATGTGTTTATTTTGAAAGCAATTTCATTGGATGACTACAGCTGTGACTGGAATTATAGTTCTTTTGCTTACTTTCTTCCTTTCCCTTTTTGCTTATTCAAACAAAAACTTTTGTGTGTCAAAATGAATAGATCTCCTGACAGAATGAATATTGATGACGGTGAATATGCATTTATTTAGTATTTGTTAAATCAAGCTTGTTTACTAACAGACATTGAAATGAATTCTAGATGTTAAAATTAAAGGAAGAGGAAACCAAGAAGAAGGTAATTAAAAGACGCATTAGGAAAACAAAAGTAAGCATAATAACGATTACATGTAGGAGGCATACTTAAACGCTTAGGAGGAAGAGCAAATGAAATGATGGATGTTATTTCCGAACCTGTTCGATGTAAGAATTATTACTGAAATTCTTGATCGTCAACTAAAACGATGAATGTATTAGCTGTTGAGGGATGGATCATTATTGTTCGTGGACTACACGAAGAAACAGACGAAGATTCTTTAGTAGATAAATTTAGAGAATATGGTGATGTCAAAACAGTGCATCTCAACTTGGACAGACGTACAGGTTATGTCAAGGTAATAGAAAAATTCGCGGAGCGTGTTTATATGCACAAATATGTACTAAAATCACATAATCTTTTAGGGATACGCGTTTATTGAATACGAGTCACGTAGAGAAGCAGAAGCAGCTGTCGAGCAAGCGAACGGCTCGAGATATTTGGGAGAGACAATTAAAGTAGACTATGCCTTTGTTAAGGGGCCTTCGCATGATGATCGTTCTAGAAGGGATCGTAGACGAGACAGAAGCTTGAGTCCCAATAGACGTTAAAAGCTTAAGGAAATAAATAATAATAATAATAAAAGGGAAGGAAAGGGAATAAATGCAATTGCTAGAGGTTAACAACATTATATATTCATGCACGAAAGAAGAAGATCTTCTTCCTGTCAGTGCAGTATGGTGTAAGTTTAGTGAGCATGAGAAAGAAAGAAAGAAAAAAAGAAAGGTTATAAAAGCAAAAAAAAAAACAAGCTAAATGAACAACTAAAGAACTGTTGTTTTAAAAAAGAACAAGAGAACTCTCTTGTTCCTATCCTAAGTACACATTTTTCTACAAGAACTATCAGAATAAGTTGTTAGTGTTCACACAGATAGTAATGAATCTAGGCATTAGTGTTATAAAATGACGAGCATTTTAATTGTTGGACAACAGAGACAGAGAGCAAGTCATGCATCCCGAAAAACCCAAGCTGCCGGCAAAGAAGGTTTTAGAAAGCGGAGAGGAAGAGAGACATGCAATATGACACAAAGTAAATATGCAGAGTGTTGTTTGTATAGTCACACGTGTGTTCCGGCTGTAATACAGATCAGATTATTAGACACAAAGATATTTCGTACATACAACTAGACGAAAGCGTGCAATGGCGACAAATAGACACATAATGTGTATAAGCATAGAGCATTTTAAGGGAGTCGTGTAAAGAAGCCTTTGTCAGGGGATCTTCGGTCTGAAAGCGATCTCCGATAGAAAGTACAGAAGAAAGGACCCTCGATCACGTTAAACCTTAATGGTAATAAGCTAGAAGGAAAAGGGTGGAGGAGAGGGCTGGCCTTTTTAGCGAAGGCAAAATTTCGGCGACAGATGTAATTGGACGGTAATAAAGTAGTGCATTATCTTTGTGGGACAAAGATATATCAAGATCTTCAGTTTAAAATAAGACACTGATTTTGTAACAGTAACATGAGATAAAACAGTGAACAAATTATTGCATATTCCCATGGATGTGATCTTTTTTTTCTTTCATTCATCTGAAGGAACTACTGCAAGGCGTGCGATACACAAGCACGCTTTTAATTAATTTTGAAAGGATAATCATTTATACGTTCACATTAGTATAAAAAATAACAAAAAAACCAGAAAATATGATTCTCTTGTCACTATGGCTACATCATAGCGATCATCTATATCAGCAAAACTTTAATTGATTACTATAGCAACGACTGTGCTTAAACTTTATGTATGTGTGTTTCTTTAGCTCAAGGTACAAATATTTTTTAGTCTCATTTTCTGTACTACAAGTTTATATGCATACAAATATAGAATAAGTGATACGCATAGCTTAATTTCTTCTAATATAGAACCTCATTGTTTGTTAATGTTTCATTTTGAAACAAACTAAAATTTATGCAGTAAAATGATCAAAGCGCAGAACAGCTATATTTTCTCCCTGCTTTTTCTTTTATCCTTTCTATTTCGCTTTTTCTTGCCTCGGAAGTTGAAATAGACAGCAATAGTTAACGTAACACTGCCGTGAAAATTTAGAAAGGCGGAGAGAAAATAATTAATTTATTTGGCTGTCAACCGATTTCTTGGGTTCACTGACAATGATTTTAAAATTCGCTTTTTCTTTCACTTTTTCCTTCTTCACTTTTGCCCTTTGATAAATGAATTCAGAGACATTAGAACGAGTGTGCGTAGATGGAATATGTCACTGTGATTGGAGGCTTACTCTACAAGACTGCGTAGAGGAAAAAGCCATGACGATCATTCATGGCATAAACGTTGGTATCTCGGGCATTACAGTGATCTTGGGTATATAAAGCCATATATGCAAATCTTTATAGTTTACTAAAGAATACTTGTTTTTTTTTCAGGCACAGCGCTTTTATGTCATAGACTATTTATTAAAGGACATCAACTAGTTGATATTAATTTAAGTAAAGGATGCTTTCGCCCAAAGCCGATTGATTGTATGCTACTATTTATTATATTCTACAATTTACGCAAGTGTTTTATACATATAAATCAGCAATACACAATTAATAACAGATCAATTCCGTGTAGTTCGTCTAATATCCAGCATAATCTTAATCACCGATATCGCAACAGACCTGATCTCACGTTCATGTACGTTAATATAATTATGCTGATCTTTTCTATTTACTGATTATATGCTTAGTCATGTTTGAATTCCCATGGCAATTTGGTTATGGTGCATTTGCCTTATATCTGGTTGGTATTGCTCAAACACTGGCAGATGTAAGTTGATTGGTGAATGCTTTATAAAGAAACTAATCATGTGATTATAGAGCCATAAAGTCATTGCAAACAGTTGGCTGCCATCACCTAAATTGGTCGATCTCTTTGGAGGAACACTTTTCTTAGCTCCGTTTATCCTCAACAATAGCATGTCTTTAGCAGCTGGTATCATGGCAGAAAGAGATTTACGCTTAGCCGTCATTTTCACAAGATTACTCTATGTATTTTGGTTTATTCACTGTACAAGCCTTGGTATAGCTGTTCTCATCTCTGGTCTGCGGTTGATCCACATCCTGGAAGAGCATTTAAAGAAAATCCGTAGCACAGGAGGTCCTCGTTACACGTCGATCAAAACCGGCATTTTCAAAATACGAGTCGTCATGGGCATTATCGTTGTTTGTGTCCTGATGTTTGCAACTTTTCTATTACTCTATGGAATTTTGAGAAACCTTATTATTGTCAACAAAGCCGGATCCATTGTGCTTGGAGCTATATGGAACTTTCTGGGCGCTGTTTCAACCCTTGGAGTGGTTATTGCCGTTCTAATTAAGTAAGTAAATTTATATTAATTATCTCCTACAGTAACTGACATTGTTCTATTTATTTCAGTCCTAAAATAGATGAAAATGCTAATCTTGGCTTGAAATCTTCCAGTGCCGAAAAATCCAACCCAACACCTTACTCTAATTTTGCATCACAAGAATACTCTGCCACTGCTAGTGCCTTAAGCTCAAATGGCCAAGGAGGCGTTAATTCAGCCACATTTGATGAGCTCAGGATGCAACAAATGCAATACCAGCAAGTGTTCCAGAAACACAATAACCACGCTATTCCACGAATAGATTCAAACATGGATCGCAAAAACAATATATATATCCCAGATAGTGTGCCTTCACTAGCAATGTCAGATATAAATGCACAAAAGTATGAGTACTCCTTTGAATATAATAGCCGCAGCAAAAACACTAATAATAATATAACAGACGATGATCAGATAATTGATGATGGAGAAACATCGCAACTAGACCTAGTAGAGCATGCATCAAGAAACCAAATGGGTACATATTAAGCATCCGTCTTGTTTATACTACAAACATATATACATATATACAACATACATATGCATGATAAATTTATAACCATATTTTACGCTACAATCATAATATAATTATCATGTAAAAATACCGTACTTTCATTCGTCTTTCTATGTTCAATCTGGTTGGATCACAATGATAATTTCCATATTAGGAATAATGTCAGCTTGGCTCGTGAGTGTCTTTTCAGGGCTGTTTTTTTTTTAAGTTCCCATGGTATTGTTATGGTAACATGAACCACCTTTCTGGAATAGGCAGGTTTATGGTTGCCCGCTTTTGTATATTTCTTGACGGACCTTTACATAGTTTTTGCGCCACACTGACCAGACGCGTATAATTACTGTTATTTTTTGTTGATTATAACAACAGGTAGACCTTATTATGAGTATAATTCATTTTTAATGTTGCCACATCCAGATTCAACTCGCACATTTCTGTGCGCACAGATGAATCAAGAAACAGCCCAAAAAAAGTCACTTCCCTGCGTCATCAGTTCAGGTGGTCGTATACTCCGCTGACTGGATTGAGAACAGAACCATTATCTTAAACAGCTTATTCTACTGTCAGGCATAGACTCTTCCTTTTCTTTTTTTCTTTTTCTTCACTTAAATGAACAATTGATATATCTTATGCTCACAGACTCTAGTTTAACAAATATATTAGTTGTGGTATGAATCAGGCTTTTCTTGCTATATTACACACCAAGTACCTAATCTACTTCTTCATCAATAGAGTGGTGTATCACAGATACGCTATAGAGTATACCACCAATATTACATTAGAGAACAACTTATTGAATACCTGAAAAAACCACACGACAGCACTAATAATAATCATAATCATAATAATGACAATGCCTTACTGAAAGCATATGCTGAGCTCCTGTCAATCAACATTCCAGCATTTTGGCAGATCTGTAAAGAATCGTTAGAGGATTCCGAAAATAAACTATTACTTGAACTTTGGGTGTTTTGGTTCGATGATGGACATACAGGAAGAGTTGATTCTAATGAATATCTCCGCGAGTTAGACGGTAAGATAGACACTTTGTAGTGAAAATGGGCAATGTCTGATCTCGCTCTTGCTTATAGAAATAAAAGTTGGATCTTTCACTTGGGAAAATGCTTATTCAAAGCTTCAATCACCTACTGCTTCACCGCCCTCTACTGGAACACAGGCAAATGCTTCAACCTCAGTGACAGTCTCTGTTGAATATGGAATGTTTATACGATCTGTACGAAACCTGTTAGACAAGTAAGTCTCTGTATTTTGCTTCAAAAAAAGAACTTTTCCTATGTTCTAACGCTTTTAAAGGCAAATCAAAGGACGAGGAGCAGTTCCTTTAGGAGAATTTTACATTTTTCAAAATAATGATAACCTTAACAATGTGATGTGGACTAAACTGAACTATTCACAATCGTCGAATACTTCATTATGTTGCTCATATAACGTCTATCTAGCAAATACCAATTTAGTCTTTCAACCGAATCCTCGACGTATGAGAGTTAGATCACTCACTCATCAAACTTTACGTATGAAAGGACAAAGAGGTATGCTTAATATGCACAGATATGCATGCATATAGCTGACCAACCAAATATAGTTATCTTAAGCCCGTCCGGTGAATTTGCCACTATTGCTTCCAACAGTTACACATTACCCAAGCAGACTGAAGAAGCGATCCTAAAGGCGTGGTCTTCACTATTTGATATTCCTTATAAAACTTTAATTCAACATAATCGCAGCACAATCAAGCCTCATCCATTACAAGAAGAACAAATGGATCAACCGCAGGTCATTCACAAGTGCTTGCCCAATCTAATTGCATTAAAGAGTACTACCAGGGGAACCGTGTTTTACTATCCTACAGCATTAACCTTTGTACCTTCGTCATCTAAAATATCCCCTACTGCTATGGCAGGCACCAATGGCCTGTTCAGGTTCAATCAGGGATTTTCAGAAACTTTTGGAGACAAGTGGAGTAGATGGGCATGGAACAGTACATTTTCCAACTACTGGCAGTTTGCATGTCCAAGAGGCACTACAATATCCTCAGTACTTGACATGCTTTCTCTAGAAACTGCTAATGTAAATCAGACAGCAATCCTGCAGAAAGTCATGAACGAAACAATGAACGCAAGTCCTTTGATGGTAACGGCGTCCATGGCAACACCTGCCTCTACCAATGGTAATCAGCAGAGAATGGATACATCCATCACTTCGACACCTGTCACCAACCAAGAAGAAAGCGAGGATAAACCAAAGATCAAGAACCAGCAAAATCTTTCTCTTGTCGAGTTTACCGTTGCAAATTTTTCTGTTCCTGAAGCTAATCATGATGACATTCCTGAATACCCTCAGCAATACGCTAATGCAAGTGTAAATAATGCCATGATGATAAACAATGCAAACGTAATGCAGCAACAGCAACATCAGCAGCAGCAGATGCACATAGCTCAACAAATAGATCAAATAAAATTGGAGAACATGCACGCTGGTATATTAGCGAATGTAGGAACAGCAGCAAATAACTTAGCATACCAGTCACCTCAAATGACAAATCTCGGGCTAGATCCATTTGGATTAGGTGATAGTATGGATGTAGACAACATAATTCTAGATATACCAAATAGATGGAGCGATGATGACATGGCTGATTTGGATAATTTCGACTTGGGAGTGACAGAGGAGGACTTTGATTTTTTCAAGTCAAAGCCAGTGCCTGTTTCTAATGCGACTATACCCGTAAAGGATGAAATGTTCATTGACACTACTAATGCAGCGGACTCCTTGATGCTCATGACCGATATAAAGCAAGAGGATACCACTGATGATTTTAATATGTTGACGAATGACAAGCTTTTAGTCTTGGATGATAAAAACCAAGTGATGATGGATACCGAGATGGAGAATGCTGCAATTGGAATACAAGATTTATCTGTCACACCGCTAGAAGTTGCCATGGCACAGCAGGAGAATCTCATGATACTGCAAGGCCAGCAACAAGTAGATACTGATTTGTTACATAAACAATTGTTGATGCATCAGCATGATCAGCAGCCAGATCAACACTTTGGTCAAGGTGCCAAAATGCCAAAAGAACGCCAATTATTTATACCATCAACTTTTGCACCAGTCAAGATAGACACTATGGTCAATGACTCGAAATACCACAGTGGCGGGAAGTTTACCTATCCATCTACTGATGGAATGAGTAGCTGTTTGCCAAGAGGCGACTATTATAGACCTGATTACGTCCCTGCTAGCCGATCAAAGAAACTCCGAAAGAAGATGTCCAAAACAGCTAGTATTGTCACTCAAGATAAGGAAAGCGCTGTCTCCAACAGTAAAGAAATGGCTTCAGAAAACAATTTGACACAGAATCTAGAATCAAAGACGAAGAAGCCATATAATGGTACACATGTCAGTATATCCAGTAGTAACAGCAGTAGCAGTAGCAGTGATAGTAGTAGCGATTATACGAGTAGCAGTGGAGACGAAGGTAATGATTCAGATGAGGATGTCGTAGAAAGATCAAGTCATGCCTTGAATAATGTATCAATAGCTCAGCATAATTATCTCGATAAGCTTCTTTCAACGTCACCTTCTTCTAGCAAGATAACGCCTGCTCATCAAGTCGTGTTTGATTATGACAGCCCATTCGCTAATGCAGTGACCGAGAGTCTGGGAAACACGCCAAACCAGCAAATTAGTATAAGCTCGCAGGAAGATTATAAAGCGTTAGAGTACCTTTGCCAGCAAGCTGTTCTTGGTGGATATCCCTTTTCGGGTGGGACCGAGACCATTTCATCTAATGGCACCGAGACTACGGAAGGAGAATCAACCAAGATTATTATATCGAGAAGAAGGCATCTTTTGCAGGCGTTTTACGGAGATACTATACACGTTTGCTCAACACCTCATGATGCTGAGTATATGAACCAAAACTTCAAGGATATTCTCATCAGTCTATTTGCAAAGAAAGTGTCTGATCTAAATCCTATGGGCCTAGATCAACCTCTTCTTCCCGTCTCCATCACTGTGAAGGGCCCTTTGAACCTACAGCAATACTACGATCTTTCAGAAACGAATCAAGCGCACTCCAAGTATGGCAAATATCAAGTAAAGAGACGAAGGCCAGCTGAGCCTAATCTGGATACATTACGCCCACCCAACATCGTTATTAACCGTCAAGAGGAGTTCCTTGAAGGAAGCACAAGGATGATTATGTTTTGGGAAAAGCTACGTCTAGAGCCTTACTCTTGCAAGAAACATATCAATTATTTTGTGATGTATCCCAAGAATGATGCTATAGAATATAATGTATCCCAGTTCTTTAAGAATCTTGGTACATTATATGAAACATGTCAATTAGGCTCTCATCATCCTGGAAACATTGGAGTGTATCGTAAAGGCTTGGTTCCAGTTACTTTGCTACGTAGGTTTCTTTTATTTATTTAAGAAAACGGCCTGTGTTTAACTCTATTTTTTTTTTTTTTTTTTTTTTTTTTTTTTTTTTTTTT